CAGTACAAATGCTCAAGACCTGCAAGGAGTCGGTGCGACGGCTCTTACACTTCGAAAAACACTTTTGTCGAGACGTCAGCAGACGGTATGCAGTACTTATGACAAGCGCTTCCAATGAAACGCTACAAACAGTTTCTCTTCGCCCCATGTGGAAATCCCTCAAGTCGGCAACACACCGTCCCTACCTCTGGTTGCCGCCGCCTGGCTTGCCTTCAGCTCGTCAACTCGACATGCCTCCATACTCTCCGCGACATACTCGCGGCCTACCTGTGCTCACATTTTCATCGGTTGAGAGATATCACAATTAGTCAAAGCCTAACTTAACCACGGGATGTCGTTCCGTCTCCCTCTAATATCGGCGAGTCCACAAGTGAGGATCACAAGAACCAAATGTCTGCGTACCCTTACAGCTATAGATAGCTCTCCCTCTGATCCGAAGAGAGAGAGGGAGAAACAACTTCATTTAAGTGAAAAAAAAATCACAGAGCAATGGCGATCGGGCCGTGCCTGGCCGCCACCTCCTCAGCTGGCCCGGAGCTGTACTTCTAGGTTCGTATCTCTGAGTACTCTTTCCCATCCCTCGGACGAGGGAGTGGTCAGGAGATCAGGCGGGGGTGGATCATCGCTGCAGTCCTATAGTATATGAGAGAGGGAGGCGACGGAGCCACATTTTGAGCAATGCGGACTTAACAGATCGGGGTAAATGTGTGCGTACACCCGCGGACACGGAAACGAGTTCGTTTGGAGGCGGTGTCACGTGATTTCTTGTGGTGTCGTGAGTTTGGGATGCGGCGGTGGTTTTGTTCGACGTGTGAGGCGATAGTTCTGAGCAATTTCGTGATAGGATATGAGGGGCTCGCCGGTCGTGGCGGAGCCCACCGCTCGGTTGACGAATTCTCGAGCTTCGTCCGAAGAATCCGTCCCCTACAACAACGCGCATATACGTGAAGCCGACCGCGACCTTCCATTGCCGAGCCTTTTCCAACTTTTTTCAGCCGGCCGTCTTTTAATCACTGGTCACGGTAGTGGTCAGTGAGTGTCGTAGTAATAAATTGGCTACTCTTATCTCAACTCGCATCCCACAGTACTGCATGTACGAGCTTTTAGATGCTCGACGGATGTTTGTTACACACCAACGCCACGCGGTTCAGTGACAGCACCCTGCGTCCTCTGCTTTGCACGACTGCGAACCGCTTCTTTCGTTGACCACATGTAAACAATGCTTGGCCGGTCATTGGGCTCGTGCCAGTTCACAACGATGACAATTCAATTCCCTATCTTATCTACAACAGGAAAACTTAGACCACAACCAGTTTGCCGTGAAATTCCTACACCGCACATGTGTCGCAGGAATTGGGCAAGTCCCAACTACGTTCCATCTTCTCTTGCTAATCGTATGTGCGGATTGCAGGGCCAGTCGTTGAGCGCGTGCCGGTTCAAGACGACGATAATTTTCATCTACGACACAGGGCGAACCTCGATCACGACAGCTCTGCTGTTAAGATGTCACTATGTGGAGACGAATGACCAGGGAAGCGTTTAGCACGCGACACATGACGTGACACGCATTCTCGAACCACAGCCGATTATACACGCAATCCGTAACTGAAACCCCAAGACCTGTCAAGAAAATGCCATTTAACGATTTATATTAACGCGATGATGTAACACAGCTCGTTGCGAAGAAATTCTACAGTCTGCGGTTGTGAGCGAAAAATCATCTTATGCGTACCCAACATATCGAGAACGATGCTTATAAAATAAATGATAAAAAATCCAGAGTGGCGACCGAACCCGGGTCGTTTGCGGGGCAAGCGGATGTTGTAGCACACGGCCACCCGCCTGCTTGTGCAGTACAGTGAAAATGACTTCCTCTGCTTGAAAATGCAGAGAAAGTAACTTTCATGCTTTACGACCACAAAATTCCTATATACATACTTCCCAATACAACGGGAAATATTGCCGTAATAATGTGTGGTACAAGCACCCATCGCCCGCGGCCGTCAGCACACATGGGATTATCATAATGACTTCATGGTTTAATGCCAGGCATCCACTACAAAAGACACGCACGCTACTGCGCCTATTCCCTTAAGACCACGTAGTGAGTGCATAGCAAGTTCGAAAAGGTTTCATGCACGAAGTGTTTGAAGTACGCACCAGGAATACATCGCTATCACGTTCAACTCTTTAAAGGCGAAGCTTTAATGTCCCGCAATATTTTTGATCAGCACGGTATAATTACGTATTTCTGCCGCATTCTGTTTCACGACGTGCATCTTTATATTCCAGGCACACCACATGTACTTAGCGTTTCCTTTACATTTACAGTGGATCGCTGGCGAGATCCGGATGTTATCCAATTTGTGTTGGTTGCGAAAATGTATTGTGGTCCTGCAAGGCGCGCGCAGCGGGCGACTTCCACGTCGGGACCGTTAGGCCAAGCCTATCAGCCGCTCAACGGGCCTGCATCCAATTTGTGTGGATGGAAACAACTACCCGGAACAACTACCCGGTACTTTCAATCCCCATCGTGGGTGCGTGCCACAGTTTACAGGATCTACTTCTTTCTTGTAAGTCCGGTGATGTTTGACAACCCGAGATCAGGTGTCCCATGAGAAGACTTTGAGGCCTTGCCTCATCGCCGCCTCTCGGGCCTGCGGGACGGCCCGTGTCTTGGAGCGCCGCGGAGCGACGGCCCACCTCGACGCAAGAGCATTCTACCATGCTGAACGTTCGAGGTTCGAGAGCGTCGCACACAACTTTTCTACAGTGAGAGTCGAGAGTAAGCGCAAAAAAACAAGGCAGCATATCCACGCAGTGAGTGACGGAGAGTGGGGCGAAACATCCGTCCGTCTATTTGTTCTTGCTTCCATCCATGCACGCGTCCGTCTGTGTGACCGTACGTGCGTCCATCCCTGCATTCGTCCATGCATCCACCCCTGCGTCCGTCCATGCAGCCATCCATGCGTCCGTCCATGCATCTGTATGTGTGTATGTTCGTCCATCTAGTCAACACTTCAAGTACCACCATCTCGCATATTTTCATCATATATTCCGCATATCGAAGCACTGCCATCCAGCGCTAGCGGACATTCCAAGGACTGAACGAGAGGAGGCACACGCACACTTTATTTCGACTTGCGCTTGGTGCCTACTTCCCACCTTTAACCACCTCGAGTTCATGGTATATACTAGTTCACTGTATTCATGGCACTGCGGCCCAACGCTCGGTGAACCTTTCTAAAACCAAGGAGGTTACGCCCAGTGAGTATACGTAGCAACCCTTTCTTGTCAAATAGTGCTCAAATGTACATGCCAATGGCTGCTAATGGAGAATGAGATACAGGAGAATTCGGCTTTTAGTTAACCCGCACGCTGCGAATTTTTCATTGTTCAACAACGCACGGGATAAATTTCCCACCAGCAACACTTTGCAGGTCAAAGCGTAAGACATGTCACGCACTACTACGAGGGACGAACGGGTGCCGCTTTAAGGAGCTTCGCCCCTAAAACTGGGAGGACGCTTGAGCTTTGCCTTGACGGAGAACGCGACAGCGCTTTCGGGCCCCGTTCTCAAGTGATAGCTTGCTGTCGGTTCGAGGTGCATGCCTCAAGCGTGCCGCAAGGAGACGAATACCCTTTGCGCGTTAGTACATTGGCTGTTTGAAAAATATCCCAGAATTCCTTCTGCAAGTACGGTGTCCACTACACCACAAATATTCCGTTTGCTGCTGCTGATAATAATTAAATTTGTCTCGGCGCTTTTTAGTGGGCAGTCTTTTAAAACACCCAGTCGTCGCGCGATTCACATGCTTTGACGCGTGGTACAATTCTTTTAATACTTAGACCACTAAATAACATACCTTTTTGTGCAATCCGAAGCATTGCTCTGACGTAAGTCACCTGCTTTCCACGCAAACCGCGATTTTAACTTGCACCGAGGACTTCGCTTTTTTTTATTGAGATAGCAATTATATGAACACTCTCAGCTGGATTTTCCCGCCGGCGTCGACGTGGGAGTCGGCGTCGATGTCATGCACCGTATATGTATACACACACGGGGATTACGTTTTTAGCATTACCAGCAAGATGGCGCAACGAGCGCATGTCGCCACATCATGTGGCGGCGCCCGCTCTTATCTCCTACGCGTACTTTGCCCAGCTTAAAGAAGGCCTCGCGCGCCCTTATCTCGCGGCGGCGAGGAGGGAAAGGTCATACGCCTTGGCTGGCCTCGGGCTTTACCTGGAACGATTCTGCTGTAGTTACCGGGTGCGCAAAGGTCAGGCACTGCGCCGTGCTCCCGACCGGGTTGCAGAAATTAAGGTGCCTTTTCTCATCTTCTAACCACTACCACCACCACCACAAAGGTCACTGCAATCATTGCAGTCTCCGTTTGCGAAAAGCGCGCGCTTTTCAGACACATCAAAGTAACAAATGAGACGCTTATTCGCGTGCATCCGTACGGGTGAGCACGTTTCGTGCGTCATTTGTGCGTGAGGAAAGCAGGGAATGTTTCGATCTGCTTTCCATTCTGCACGTGACCTTTCAGTTTGTTGCTCTCGCATTCATTGCTTCACCTTTCCGGCAAAGCTGCGACTTTTTTGCTGTTGGTTTTGATTCCCCCTCTCCTATTTTTTTATATTTTACATGGACAATGGCGATTTTTCGCTCACGCGCCTACCCTATGGGGTGAATATTTACAAGTATGAGATAGCACTTGCATTTTGAGAATACGTTAGGTCGTATGTGCGTGCATAAGCCCGCTGCGGTGAAACATTAAGTCCTTTATTAAGAACGCCGATGTTGAACGTACACTCATCTTTGTGCATACAGGTGCCGCTAATTGGTGCCAAATAGAAAGAAGGCGCATAGCTATATGTAAGCGAAACCGGAAGTTGCGGTGCCTCCGTATGATTGCTTTGCTAAATAAAAAGGTCTAACCATGGAGGCACCTTGGACAGTGCCGAGCACGAACGCGTCAACACAAAACAGACCGTTTTTTTTTGTTAAAAACAGAACTTTTATTTACAAAATTTTAGCTGAGGTATAGGCAACGACAAAGCATACCGACAACAATGACAAATTTGACAGTTCCTAGAAGAAGAAAAAAATGGAACAGAACACTTTGTTACATCGTTTTTGATGGCGTGCTTACCGAAAACACATGCGTGTGGGTGTATTTTTTTCTTTAACGCTAAGTAACAGTGTACAGCACTTCCGACATAAGCGCGTTGCGTCGTACGCGAGTCAACATAACGCGTGGTTTCGTCACAGTGCGCTAGCTGCGCCTTTGCGTGTCTCGCTCCTATTAAAGAATTCACAGTAATTGTGTACGAAAGACTACTCCGCAATTTGCGAGTGTTCGATTTCGGCTAATAAACATTGAAACTTCCACGGCTATATCGCACGCTTATTTTAGTTTTTGCTCTGTATTAACGTTTAGTCTAACCCCTCACGGTGCAGTCATCATAACAGCTGCCAAGCAGCGCGGGCGTCATATCTGTTACGTAAGTCATGAATACCTTACAACTAATGCCAATTATTAACGGATTTTGACGCTACGAAACTTGCGGAACACTGCTGTGCTTTTCAACTTCCAAGTTCCTAGGTAGTCGTTATCCTACGTTCTTCTTCGCACCAACACGCACAGCAGGAAGTCTCCTGAACTTGATCCACTTTTTTTTCCCATTTCTGAGCGCGTGTTCCTAACCATACGGCGTAATATTTGGCATAGATGCATTATATACTACAGGCTTCATATGATGAGCAACAATAACTGAACTATCGCGATGAATTAGAAACATGTGCTGTGTCTCACGCGTTCTCTGTTTGTGAAAAACACTCTTCGAAAACCAATAGAGAGCTTTAGAATTGAGTTGCTATGCTCCGCGTTGCTTGGGTATGTACGCTACTTTGTTTCAACATATAAGGGAGTTTTCGAATGGGGTCCCCAAAGCTCTTTGTGTATGTACACTTCGGGCCAAGCAAGCGCAAATTTTTATCGAATAGGGTCTTCTGCATTTTGGACACTCCCCCTATTTTAGGTCACGCCTGTCTGTAGGCGGATAGGCGAGAGTTCAGTGGGTGCCCTGACGCTTGTCTGACGCAAATCTTTTGGGGCAGGCTTTAGGGCTGCCGCTAAATTCAAGAAATAGCGTCCCCAACGCAACACCCGAAAGCAGTCTGGGTTTTGTGCGCACGCCGTGGCCTTGAGCCTATTTCTTTGGGACCCCTATTCGAAAACTCTCTATTAGGTACATACCCGAGAGCTTAGGGTATGACGCATTCGCAGTAGCGACAAACGCTAACGCAAATGTACCGTATTCTAAAACCGCCTAGTGCCTCGCCAACAATCAAGACAAACGCAAGAGCCCACGTGTACATCGCGTAATGCATCGCCTCGACCCTCAGTCTATCAAACGACAGCTGTTGCTTACGGCAACCTACAGTTAAGTGATCTGTAGGAGTACCTTAGGGGCGAGGTTGCGATCGGCGAACTCGGTTTGACAATTTGTCGCGATGTGCCACACTCGAGTAATTAATGGTACGACGGTGGGCAAATGGAAAGAATCCTAGACCTGGAGCCCAAGTTCAGACAACGAACCTCTGTATGTGTCAGGACACTGGAGAACACGGGCCCCTTAGCCAAAATTTCGACGCAGAAGCTGAAGCTATTTTTTTCCTTGGTCCTCCCTCCGTTGCTCCAAAGTTTTCATATTTTATGAACACTCACGTTTTCATAAAGCTGGAATCAACAAACATGTCCATCATCCATTTTCGTCTTTACATCGACCTCAATCTAAAACCTACCGTCAGGCACTGTTCCTTTTTGTGTCTGGCATTTGTAAATAAAATTCTACTAGAGCAATAAACGAAGGCGTGATAGCCAAGAAATGTGGAAGCCTCGTACTAGTCACACTTAGTTAGGTTATTGGTCTGGAAGGAAAACCAGCCCGTGTAAATCTGCGTTCTATATCCTGCGGACTAGAGGAAGCGACGAAAGCGGACATTCGTCAAGAGACGCGCCACTTCCGAGCAGTTTTAAGATGTGCGCCCGGGTCATGATGTGGTGGCCGATTGCAGCGCTGTACAGATTAAAAAATAAACGATAAAATCAGCTGCTTGCGTGAACACAGAGATAATGGACGTAAGAATCGTGTAACAAAACAAAAAGAGCAAAACAAGCTCACTGTCAATTGTCTTGTTGCTTCAGCGAAAGCAAAAAAAATATACAAAACACTCATCAACTCTTCACATACATCATGCATGGCACTCTTCCCAAACAAAATACATTAAAAGAAAGCGCATTTTGGACCAAGCCCCACTCCGCCCGCTCTGGGCGGTATCGGCAGCAGTCACTAGCTCAGACAAGGCAGCAAAATGACCTTTGAAGAGGTCGCAGATGTACCGTTCCATTAAATGCCATGTTACGTATTACTTACTCCTCCTAAACACGTTCTATCTCCGGACATTTCGCCCTATCTACCACTTGTGTTTCACTTTTCCAGTACTAATGCGAAGACGCAACCAGAAAACGCAGTTCTTATATTTCTGCGCACCGTAGTGCCAGGTAAAATAGATCTGAAAAATATATCTACATTGTTATTCTGTAGCATTCATGGTAAAAAAGCTCCTGAGCGCATTTATTGATATACGACTGCGTTATACCAAGTTTCATTTCATCCCTACATTTTTAACCATGTCAGTGACTATGCTGTCACTATAGTTCAGACCGACACAAGACTCGCGCGACTGCTGCTACGTTCGTACGAGCCTCGCTTCAGGTAACATTTTATATAAAAGTTTGATCTGGTCAAACAAAACGTCAGCTCCGAGCAGCAAACGCACCCGAAACAACGCGTGCCTTTTCTTCTTCTTCTTCTTTCAGTTCTGCGTCATGCAACAGGTGGAGCAGCTGCGAGTTAACCATAGCCATGATTAAAGGTGGGGTCTCACGTGCTACCTACACGTTAAGCAACTGTTGTTGCGATGCCAAACTCAAGAGTAAAGTTGTCTCCTGCAGTTGGCGGAGAGCGCCCGACATCAATAAACTCCGCAACACACACGACAACACAAGAACCATAGCTGAATGCCTGCAAAATCGTGTCGTCACTCCCTACGTAACAGACCATAAAGCATTGGCCAGGTGCATCATCTAACAACTTATCCTCTTTCAGGAGGAAATCAATCCTCGACCGTGGCATTCTAGCCTGTCGGGGAGGGCCAGTCCTGTGAGCAATCCACACATTTTTTTTTCATTTGAACTGGCCCAAATCTGTTATGGCACCGATGATCTTTCGGTACACCCCGAGACAGATGCCAGTACTCGGCACAAGAGTCCTCAAAGAGACAGTATGAATTAGTCCCTGTCATAGTAAGTAGCCATGGGTATCTTTGAGCCCCGCCTCCGACATGGAGGGCTGCAGAAGCTGTCGGGTGACGTGGGTGCTGTATGGGAGGCTTTAGGGAGGGTGGAGGTGCCATTGGCATCACCGCAATCACCCTTGTCAAGTCGCGAACGGTAGTGATTGACGATGAACTCCATCTTCTTCAGGATCTTGTCGTCAGAATCGAGGTCTTTTTCACGCAGCAGCTCCTGCAGTAGGGGCGATATCACGTTGGGCCGCTGAGATTTGGTCGGGCTCGAGTGGACCGCGCTTCTCTTGGAGCCGGGTTCGGTGAAGAGGTCCGGCGTCAAGGCCGGTCTGGAAGAACCACGCTGCCGGAAGGCCCACGTCTTGTTGCCGTCAGAGTTAGACCGCGGCGAGGTCCGGACTGGGGGCGGACTCCTCCACGAGCAGCGACCCGGGACGCCTCGCGTGAGGAACGCCTTGTCGGAAGTCATGCTCCCTTCACTGCTGTGAGACCTCGATCGGGGTAGAGTGGCCAGTCCGGCGTCCACCGAACGACGCCTTGCGTTGGGGTTAGGCGGAGTAGACGACTGTCGGACTCTGCCGTTGGTCATCGCCTGCTGCTTGGTCATCTGTTGCTGCTGATGATGTTGAGGAATTGGCGACGTCGTTCCGTTTGTGGTCAGATTCTCCGAGCTCGTGGCCCGGTTGGGTGCGGCGAGGTAGGGAATCCTAGACTTGGCAGATGGTGGCGGAGGAGTCTGCCTGGACCCTACACCAGATATTGAATGTCTCGGAGAGGATGCCGTTCCGTTCGTCTTGGCGGGAGAGGCGGAGGGCGAAGCGGACGATGCGTAGCTCTCGTCGGCCGACGCGGCACTGCTGTCGATGACGTCGTGTGAACGTCCTCCCGCCGGGTCGGGTCGTTCTGGCGGCGCCATCTTCCACGGGGAGGTGCCGTTGGTGCTTCCGAATTCGCCCGGCTGTGGTGTGATGTTGCCTGTCTTGGCGATCTTTCGCGGCGAACACTTCCGCGACCCTCCAGGTGTCTTGGCGAACTCGCCTTCGGATGTCTCGCTACTGCTGTCGGCGGGCACTCCGCAACCACCGCTGCTCGAGCTGGTCGAGTCGTCGCTGCAGTGCGATATTCTTGACGGTGTCAGGTCTCGGTCGTGGTCGCCGGTCAGCGAGTTGTTGTGCAGCAGGCCTCTGTGTGACATCAGTGGCGACGTGCTGCCGTAAGAGTAGTTTGCTGCGGGAGGTCTGCAAAAGAAAATAAACGGCCACGGATTAGAGTGAGCGCAATTTCGAGTAGTCATGTACCGCTGAATCACTACCGGCTCTTTGTGCTATCATAAGCGTAATGAACTCCTTTCACATCTGTCTAACTGAAGCTTTTTAGGTAAACCTTCAACGTTTGCTACTTAAGCCATTCTAATGTAGTTTTGCTGAGCAGCCACGACGAAATAAGCGCAATATTTTTCCCATTCTCTCGTCCTCATCCCGGGAGTTTCGTTCAGCGCCACTACACAACTGGGTTCTTTAATATCACCGAGATGGCTTCATGTGTTTCCACGAACCAGCAGATTGCGCACTGGCGACCTCGTATTGCTCGTCCTTTCTTTGGCTGGCCATAACTTACGTGCCACGCTAACGGCAACCACGCTGACAAACGTCAATTTTAGTTCTACGCAAACGTCGCTGAATTAACAGCATATTGAATCCCTTGGAACAATTATTTATAAGAAAAAAAAACAAAAAGCGAAACTATGCTTATATACCACCTTGTTCGGGCTAAGGGTACTAGGAAATGCTTTTAATGCTTCCCTCTCTCACAGAAAAGGGCTTCTCAATTTTTCCTCGTATATTCCAACGCATAACTATGGCGACATTCGGTTCACAACTTCTTAGCAAAATATAAGAATAAAGAACAACTCAAAAGAAACGCTTGATACATATATTTACGATGGTCATAGAGGTTTGGACTAAAAAGGCACTGTAATCGGTGCACTGAGTGCAAGTTTCAATGCGACGCCTAAAAATTGACAATGCGACGCCTAAAATTGACAATTCTCATCTTTCGTCGGGAGGAATACACCAGATAACGTAAAGCAGGTTACAAGGTTATGACCCAGCATCCTTGATTGATTGATTGATTGATTGATATGCGGAGTTTAATGTCTGAAAACCACCCTATGATTACGAGTGATGCCATGGTCGAGGGTTCCGGAAATTTCGACCACCTGGGGTTCCTTAACGCGCACCCGAATCTGAGCACACGAGCCTACAGCATTTTCGCCTCCATTGAAAATGCAGCCGCCGCAGCCGGGATTCGACGCCGCGACCTGCGGCTCAGCAGCCGAGTACCTTAGACACCGCGGCGGGGCATGACCCGGTATCCTAATAAGATCATTACTTAGCAGCGCAGCACTGACCTATTGTATGTGACCTGCATGGTTGGGCTACCACCCTTTCCGGCAGTCATGGTCAGCTTTGCCGATGTCGATGTCCTGTGGCCTGCGAAATGAGCAAAGAAAAAAATATGCTTTTAATAGTTTATTCAGTCATTAGAATGAAATTAACTAAACGCAAAAGAAAGTGGCCCCAAAACCAATTGGACATGTTTTGCATACAAGGGAAAGGACACTTCATCCGTTAGCTACTTAGAGTGAAGCTCGCCGGCGCGAATGCACTTTATTGTAACTGCGGTATGGGAATGTATGAGGAGGTAAAAATGCCGTAAAAGTAGAATGCCAGATAAGACAAGGTATACACTAAGAAACATTAACAAGTATTAGGAGAATTTATAACTTTCACTTAAGTACAGACGTTAATTTGACGGAAGATTCTGATCGATTCCCCCCTCCCCTTGCAAAAAAAAAAAAATCAGGTCACTTCTAGTTCACTGGTCAAAATATCTGCTAGACGTGGAGCTAACATGATAGTCTCGTACGACAGTAGCTTCGCCTTCAGCGTCTCCGTTCAGAAACGATTATATACGTGTTCGTGACTTCATCAGTTTTTCTTTCTTTTTTCTAATGCTGAGTGCAATTTTATTAGGTTGGGAAAGCTTATTGCAGCATTGGACGGATCTGCAACATTCAGGCAAAAGTGATATATGCAACATATATTCAAGATACATTCATAGAGCAGAATAGTAAAAAAAAAAAAAGATAAGTCAGGACTGCCGACCAACACACTCGCGCTCTAGTGGACTTTCAAAAATCTTCGTCATTCCTGACTTCAACTCTCCGTAAAAATACAACGCCCACTATCACGCAGCAGGGCCTAGTTGGGAATACAGTTGATCAGGACATCTCGAGTGGTCATGTGGTTCTTTCTTTGCTGTTGGTTCATTCCTTTTCTATTCTAGCGCGTCTTTTTCCTGCCTAAATGGGAAGATGGCCGGGCGAAGCTTACCTGATCTGCACCTGCAAGGATCGTGCTTGTCGAGGTAGTGCTCCAGCGTGTCCCATCCGCCGCCCACGCGCACCATCACGTGACTGCGGAGTATCTGCGAGGAGGAGGATGAGGAAAAGGAGGAAGCGAAAAGAGAAAGGCACTAGCAATTAAGTTGTGGCTCTTCAGAAGACGGAACCCATATGGCGCTATTTACCGCAACCATTGCGAGAATCAGGGCCAATAGATTAAGTTACGGTATAAGATGACACGTTACTAGAGAAAGAAACAAACAAGCAGCGCAAACACAATAAAATAAGAGTCGTATATAGGTGCGCCGAGATAGAGCACTGAACCTCGCGAATTTGTCTCATACGAGCGACGAGCTGTAACAGCACATCAGGAGAGAGAATGATTTGCACAAGTGACAGAAAAGAAGCTGACAACAAGCAACACGACTGATCAGCATCGGCTGGTTGTACTGCACTGAATAAAAGAAACAACACAACAGACAGATATTCAACACTAAAGCGAGCTCAACACTAAGCGAGCACCCGTACGAGCTCGGAGCCATGCTACTCTCTAAGAATCACCGCCGAGATATATAACGAAAGTCTCACACATTGCATCGTGTTAGAATTTAAATTCCCTCTTTCGTTCTGACATTCTCCTAATGTATAACTCGCACTCAGTCACGTACGCAAGCAACTGACAGAAAATGACCACGGTTAGAGCTCCCTGTCACAAAAATTCAAGTTCTCTTTCTCGAAAAAAAAAAAAGGAGAAACAACGCAATGCACGGCCTCGCGGAGGACATCAGAAGCATTTGCAATCCGAACTTACTCTACCGTACAAATCTGCTGCGTACAGAGCAGTCTCTGAGCAAGCGTGATATTCAGGAAATGCTTACATTCTGACATATATCAAGTGAATACCAATATGGCGCACATACCGGCATCGACACTAGCGTGACGTCAGGCTGCCTCATCAATGCACCAGATATATCACCAATTTTTATGGCGTCAGGCACCGAAACGTACAAAATAACCGCTTCTACCTCCCCGACCAGAGCGGAGATGCCATGGAAACGTCACGATAAGTTGCGCAAAGCCCGCAAGAAGAAGCACGATCATACTACTTCCTAACCTCGGAATACAGTAGTTGTTTATCTATTTGATTTGCATACACAGATACGCAAGGACACAGAGGAAAGAGGAGAGAGCAAGCTGGCAACTGCCACCTGGAGGGGCACAACGCCTGCTCACTCTTTCGGGAGGAGGAAAGAAACAGAGGAAACAGATTAGAAGGGAGAAAGAGGGAAAAAAGTGAGGAAAGAAAAAAAAATGACGAAGACTTCGACGAGTATGAGTAAAAAAAGAAAAAATAATAAAACCGTCTACAAACGGGTGGCCAGGCCCGTTTGGTTCATAAATGTAAGGAGAACTCGGTGAGGCCTGGTCGCGTTGGGAAACACAACCGTTCGGAAAGAGGTGGTCGTGTAGAGTCGCGCACTTGAGTCCTAGGAATTTATATTCCTTAATCAGCAAAGACCGCTGCGTAGCAAATGTGGGACAACAGTGCACTACGAGATGCTCAAGTGTTTTGCGGGAGCCACAAGCTGCACACAACGGACTGCCCACACGCCCTTGACGGCTTACAGTAGTAAACAAAACTACCTTTTAAAAACACTTAAAAACTGACCTTTTTTTTATTTAGTTCGCACACACGCTTGCCAGTGCATATTCGAGGCTCTTGAGGACTTGGCCTTTCATTCGACGCACCAAAAACGACAACTCGAAACAATGGTGTCAGCGTCTCTATAAGACGGCCGCACGAGGCACGGCCATGCCCTCTCCGTTTCTAACCGCTACACACACAACACTCACCCGCACGAAGATGAGCACCTTCGTATCTCCAATCCTGTACTTCCCGTCCGCAACGCGTATCATCGGGAACTGGGACGGGCAGGTACACCTGTTCAGCAGGTCCACTACCTGCACACGAAACAAGCAACACAAGGCTCAGTGGTGGAACACACAGTAGCGTAGCACGTGCTTTTGGCACAGTACAGCAGAGCAAACGATGACAGAAATGCGAAAAAGTAAAAAAATAAAGCAATCGACAGCGCCTGAGCGACAAAGGCCTATAGTGATGACACCAAAACTTCGAAAACGGGGCCCGTGGAGGCAACAATTCACACCAGAAGAAACAATGGTTGTAGGCTGATCTACCTAATCCTAGCTCATGCCGATCCTTGGCAGTAAACGTAGCCGTCACACGTGGGACTTCCGTATACGCAGCTGTTTTTACGGTTTTTTTTTTCAGTCGCCGATGCACAAATATAAAACGAGTCGTGGCTCGTAAGTTCTTGATTTTAAGCTTGTACTTCTACATATCTTTACAATTGTCACTGTGTCTATGTTTCTCAGGCTGTTGATTATGTGCATTTCTTGCATTTATATGATTGTAACGAACTAAGTTATGCTGCCTTGGTTGACATACCTTGGTATTACCTTCCACTTCCTGTTTTAGAAAGGTTCACTTAAGACTATATGCCCGGATGCGGCGTTTTCAAGAATAATTCTATGGCTGCATTTTTACGACCAAATATTCATTGGCTGATCAATCTATTAATTGACCGATCATTAACGCCGCTGCTAAAACTGCAACAGATCCGCTGAAAGATCATAAAACGAGGGAAAGTCTTCCACACCGAACGAATAAAATTCAATACCACGCTTATAAAGTCCGGTGAAAGGAGGAGGCCCGCTTCGACTAGGGAGTCATTTCGACAACGCAGCGGGATACCCGTACACCCATTCGTCATCATCATAATCAATACACCGAGCACGTACACGTCGACACACGAGAGCGTCTCCCGAACGCATTTCCGGTTCACCCGCCTTGCACCAACACTAGCGGCATCAACTTTCCCTCTCAACCTTGTCGCTTCATCTCCCGCCCCATCATTTTTCTTTCTTACGCTGTCTTGCGCGAGAAGCGGCAGTTTAAGACGCATCTCATGCTGTCTTCAGTGAGGTAAAGCTGAATTCCCCAAATAACTTTTTTTTTTTCGATTGCGAAACGAACAACTTGTTTTGGTCTTCCGGCACGTCGGTCTGTTTTGAGTCTTCCTGGAGCACGGAGGAAAGGGGGAGGGGCAAATCTAGACGCACATCAATCTCATCGGCGATCACGCTGGAGAAAGCATGATGACCAGACCACTCGCGGCAGCAAAACTTGTATTCGACTCGACCGAATACACTGAAGGATCAGTTCCTACAGGCTATTTCACGGGCGGGTTTTTGTGCCGCAACATTGGGCTGTTAATTTGCATCTTTAACAACCAAACGCTCCAACATAACGTATACAACTATCCTTCCCCCCGCACAATCTGGCGACGTCCCTATAGTCGCATCAGCTGCGGCCAGAGAGACTCCACAGTATCTCACCAATAATACAACGCGGGTTACATAACGCATCCTATAGAGGTGCCGAAGCCGCGAACAGTGGCCGCGGCAAGCTGCGCCATTAATAACCCTCATCGCCACAAGTGAAGCACCTCACAGCAGCACCCCACGCACAGAGCCTTTCTTCATTCCCCCTCTCGTTTTGTTTTGATCTCTTTCTAGAAGCCATCCCTTGGTGCGTCGCTTTCGATTGTGTGCAACCGCTTTGTGCCGGAGGTAGGCGACGCGGCGTCTCCGAGGAGGCGAGACCAAGACGGAAGAGGCCGTCCTCGACGTCGCTTGCTCTCGTAGAGCGTTGCGTAGGGATGAACGGCCACGATGCACCGTCTCTTCACCCCCATCTCTACACACCCGGGCTTCACCCTCCCCCGCCGACAAGACAGGACAAAGCAGCATCTTCTGCATCCAAGGGGGAGGGGGTGGGTGGCCGTGGGTCGAGGGCCTGCTTCGTCTGCACCCGGAGAACCGAAGCAGCAGCAGCAGCATTAGAGGTCGTTGCCACGACAATCACGGCCCTCAGTGCAGGTCCATAAAAGCGAGCGCAGACTTTCTGGAACCTCGGGCCGTAGCTCCGGTGATCACCTCGAGCTGAAGCATTGTTATACACTGACGCCCCTTTTATCCGCGAGCCAGCCGACTACACTGTCCGCGATGTGGTGTGCGTCTATTACTATGTATACACTAACTGCACGCTGCGACGCTCGGCGTTTCGTTATGGTGCCAAAGGCGACTTGAAGGAGCCGGATGACAGCGCAGAGGCACAACTTCGATAGATACAGCCACGGAGACACAGGTCCACGCCGACACGTTAGAAGGCGATGGACCACGGCTGTTTTGTGCAGTGTCGGAGACTCAAGGTTATATGCACATAGTTTCGTTTGCCATTATTCGTTAACAGTATACACACGGTGTAGATCAAACGCCTATTGATTGAATTGAAGTTAATAGATTTACATTGGGCCTATTATTATTATTATTATTATTATTATTATTATTATTATTATTATTATTATTCATGATGCCTTTCTATTTCATTGATGAGTTAACGTAGCGCACTCGAAGATTATGGTTCCTTTGACAACTCTTGCACGCTTACGGCTAACAACTATAGACTTCCTTACGTAACTGTACTTGGATTCAACTTTAATGGCAACGAAACTCGCGACCATCCGAAACGCGAGTCCGCCACCACGCCCCAGTGCACCGCCCGACGCGCCCGCCCTGTCAGGGACACGTGGCGTACAAGAGGGGAAAAAACACGTGACATACAAAGGAAGCGCGCGCTTTCAAAATAGGCGCAATACGCACGCGAGATATGCGTCGGGGTGCGCGGAGGCAGGAAGGTCGCGTGCGCGGCGTGCAGAACGAGAATAGTACCGCACCGTACACACTCAGCAGCACCAACAAGGGGACTTTTGCTGCCGCACGCGGAATGCCGCACCTCGTTGTTCGTCGTGCTGCGCGTACTCGGGCGCGTATTTATCTTAGCGGCGCGTGCGAAGGCCTGCGCGTTTACGTGCATTTTCTCTCGTCTTTCTACGTGCGTGCGTCACCATAGTTAGTGTGCACGTGTTTGCGTAGGTGGTATAGCGTGTGCGTGAAGGGGAGGAGGAGGAGGGGGCACCGAGTTGACGCTACACGGTTATGTAAGGTTGCATTTCTGAGAGAAATATACTTTCTTAGTGCGCAGGAACGTTTCCAGAAGGAAGATAGAGCCGAGAGATAGGACAGAGCGCACAGACCTTCTGTCCCATCTCGCGGCTCTGTCTTCCTTCTGAAAACGTTCCCTGCGCACCAAGAAAGTGTATTTCTTTCGAAAATGCAATACCGACCAGCCCAAGTAGCCACTCTTTCATAGAAGGTTTACCAGAAGGCTCTGCTTTCTGACCGAAGCGGAAGCACCTTCAATCCTTAATCCATTTCACTCAACGCCCGGTCGTTTTAACATGACCGCTCTAGATGCTTCATCTAACGCGCGAATTTGACCGCCAGCGTCAACGCGAGTGATCTGAAATATCATAATCACACGATTACGTCACCGTATGACGTCGTCGTGGCTTACGACATGCCAAGAACGCATCGTAAAAAAGGCCATTACGATGTCTAATGTATAGGTCTTTGCTAAAGAGAATTCTACATCAGGTTTCGATGAAGACAGCTTTATTGATCTCCCGAAGGACCGAAATTCGGGGGCCGATTCTGAAACGGACAGTTTGGGTCCGTTTCAGCACACGGTGAAAGCATGGAATGCCCCACTAAAAGGGCGCTGGGGACCAGTTCTGTGTAGTTCGCGAACATACTCATTAGGAAAACTCAAAATCAGAAGAGACCAAGATATATCAAGCGCTTGCCGGGTCGCCAGCGGAAGGCCCGCAGGGCGCTCGTTCAAGACCTTCAGACAAAGCGGCTCCTTCCCACAGTATACGCTAGGCGCGGCACCGAGACTGCAGTTGCTACATTATTGCCAGTTGCCACGGCAATGTAGACGAGAGCGCACGGAAGCTCACGTTCTTATCGGACCACGGATAACGCGAAGTGCGCAATCTGCGGCGACCAACGTCTGCGAACGTGCGACCGCACCCGCCAATCTCGACGACCTTCTCAGGGTCGAGTGAAGGGCGTTCAGATAATTCCCAAGGAGACACGATGCGTCTCACGATTCCCACTGAGGCTACTGTGCGCAGCAGCTCTGCACTCGTTCAAACGACGATGAATTCTGCCCTTGCCGTAATCAACTGCACTTGTCCACGAGATGGAAGATCGCGAACTTATTTCACAGAGCTGCTTGAAAACACTAACACAATACTACTACTACTACTACTACCACTACTACTACTACTACTACTACTACTAATAATAATAATGATAATAGTCAGCAGACAAAACAAAGTAAAATGAAACTAAAGCACATTTATTTGTAGGAGGGCTAAACCGATATCCCTGCCGAATGCACACGTACACTGCAGTTAAAATGACCAAGTCCTGAACAAACTGATGTCTTAGTTATTTGCCTTTCATGCAAAGCAGCGGACAGGATTTGTTGTTCTCTACCTCCATCATCATCGTCTTCTTATATTCTCTAAGAACGGCTCAAGTTTCATTGCTTGATATGGAAATAACTAAGAGGTGATATACTAAGAAAACGTAAGCGGAAATATGAACAGAACCGAAGTAACCACGCATAAAAAAAGGGCGTGTCTGAATAGCAACAGAAACATTAATCACACTTAATTTTTAATCGTCCTATTATTAATTCTACCTCGAATGTACAGAATAGATACAACCAGCGCAAGCTTGGAACTTGTTTACTGGGGGCTTCAGTTGGTTGATTGGTTTGGCTTAGGCTTTGCTTCTTGCATGCCCTTCACGGGTCACTGCACCGAGCGGCGCTTCAAGTAGCCGCAGGTGGGGTTCTTAAAGAACCCACTCAGAGGCCATCGTCGACGGCGTGAGTATCGCAGATAAAGGAGGCCACGACTGCGGACAGTCCACCTGTGGAGGTCGTTCGAAGTCGTCGCGGGTAC